CTAGACCAATTGCAATGTGAGAATCTTATCAAACATTCTAGAACCCACAAAAAACCCTGCTAGTATATAAACGGTTAACAGGATGCATGACATGTCATTTCTGGATGGTATTTGTTTGAGTGTGCACTTGGACATTTTATTTATTTGTTGCTATGGCAACAAGAGATTGTATAAATGACTCAAACATATTATGTTATATTTGTGGTAAATTTGTTGTAAAGAAACGAAGGCAAAACATTCCTGATTTCATCATAAAAGCATATTACATGTATTTTGGAATAAAACTTGAAGACCAAGACAAATCACGGGCTCCGCACAAAGTTTGCACTGTTTGTATCAAAGAGATTGTAGAATGAATGAGGATGCATATTTGTTTGACATCAGTGTTCTTCCCTTTTTTCTTCTTGAATTGTAACAAAAATCCTTACATGATAGAAAAAATGAATATTATTTTCAAAATCTGCTTAGCTGAATTATGGAAAATCCATTATTAAAACCAAAACAACTTTTATGAAGTTTAAATTTGCAGGCCTGTGTAATTTATCATTTTACTTTTTCTAGTTGTAGGGCATCAATTTGTACTAATATTAATAACTACTAATGAAGTACTATACTATTAGTCTTGCACTAAATTACGATCTTAGTCTTGGTACTAATAGTAATACTGAGTATTGGTTAGTGATACTATTACTAGTAGTAGTAGGATGTAGCCATAACTTCAGCTGTTCAACTCTAACTTACCAATACCATTTACTTTAGCATGTGTTGTTTCCTACTCTTATTTATCTAGCAGATATTTAGTAGTATCTTGTATAGACTCTTGATTTCTTATAATGCCAGTCTAACAATATAACCATGTTTTACCTACTTGTGAAGTTGAATTTTAAAGTTTATACAAGTTTAATCATTTTAGACAATTTCTCATAGAATTAATTTAAATGGTAGTAAAATGAATAAATATTTTTATGACACATGATTATTTTGCTACTACTTAGTACACTGAGACATCACACTCATATTATTTTCTCTTGATAAGAGTTACTAAATGGTTTCCACAGTATTTTATTCAAATGTTTCATATTTAATAATAATTATTTGTAGACTGTGGTTCATTAGATTGAAGGGACTTGGTCTAATAAAAGACAAAGTAAAACTTGTTTTCAAGCCCTGAGTTCATTAGTAGGAAGACTACTGTTTAAGATTTCTTCAAAAAATGTCAACAACGAAATGTTAATCACCTCTCCATAGAACTGAGAGCTAGACTGGCAAGTACACATTAATAACATAAAATGTTTTAGGATAACATGGGACCTATGGTCCATCTCGGCTATCCCATCCTCTAAACTAAACTAAAACTATTAAATAAATGAATTAAAAAAAATCTTAAAGCCAGCTATTATCATTCATATACTTATCAAGCTTTCTCTTAAACTCACTGCCTCCACAACATCCAAAGGCAACCTGTTCCAGAAGCCAACCATCCTGTTAGAAAAATAATTGTTTTAGCTAAAGATGACTTTTATCCTGTCAAAATTTATATTTGTTTCTCCTAGTCTTACTATTCTCACTGTTAAGTATGAATAAAGATGACGCATCAACTATCAATTCCCCTTACAATCTTAGACACCTCAATCAGATCCCCTCTTACTCATCTTTTTTTTAAAGATATCAACTTCTCCTTTTATGACAACCCCTCTGTTCCAGGCACCATTCTAGTAACCCTCCTCTGAACCCTTTTCAACAATTCAATGTCCTTCATAAGGTAAAGAGCCCAAGACTGAACACAATCTTCCACATGTGGCTTAACCAATGACCTATACAATGCAATTATAACCTATTTAGACTTGTATTCAATATTTTTGAAGATATAACCTGAAATCCTATTTGCCCCACCACTAGCAACAGCACACTGATTGGATGGGTTAAGAGACTGATCAACTGTTACACCAAGATCCATTTCTTTCATGACACTGTAAAGATTATTCCCATCAAAATTATGCTGAAAATTCAAATTATGATAACCCACATGTATTTACTGTAATTAAAACCCATTTGCCATTTGTTTGCCCAACTCACAAAATGATCTAAATCCTTTTGTAAATCAACAGCATCCTCTTCACAGCTAGCAAGACCTTAATATCATAACCAAATTTAAGTAATTTACTGGCCATATCTTCACATATATCAATGATGTAAAAAAAAAAGAGCAAGGTCCTAAGACTGAGCCCTGAGGTAACCCACTTATGACATTAATCCAGTTTGACTGAAGTCCTTTTATAACAACCCTATACTTCCTTCCATTCAGCCACTCTTCTATCCAATTTGCTAACTTATCCACCATACCTTTAGAGAAAATTTTGTTTTAAAAGCCTTTTATGTGGCATCTTGTCAAATGCATTCTGAAAATCCAGATACACCAAACCTACATTATTATCCTTATCTACATAAGCAGTAACCTTTTCGTAGAATGTCAAAAAATTTGTAAGACAAGACTTTCCTTTAGTGAAACCATGTTGACTGTCGGATAAAATTCTAAACTTTGCAAACTTGACTTTGCAAAGCATCTTTTAACAGACTTTCCAAAACTTTTCCCACAACTGATGTAAGACTAACGGGTCTGTAATTAATGGGACAATGTTTATCATCTCCCTTGAAGAGAGGAGTTGCATTAAATAACTTCCAATCCTCTGGTACCTGCCCCCTGTACAAGGACTTACAAGAAATAATAGCAAGTGGCTCCTCACATATCCAATCCTTAACCTCTTTCAAAACCCTTGCGGAAATATTATGTAGCCCAGGAACCTTATTGTTTTTTTAAACTTCCCAATTTTTTTTTAACCAGCTCAGTCATCTTGTTTCATCTCGTTTCCATATATCAGCTGTCCAATGTATTCTATAAATTTCCCAATTTTTTTCTTAACAAGCTCAGAATTAATGTTATCATCTGTGACCATCTAGCAACTGTTCATGAAGAGGAATACTGCTTAAATCTTAATTAGAAAAATTGAAAAAAAAGGTAAAATTTAGTAAATCACTAACCAAACCATCTCATAATCATCAGAAATGAGCCTTCCTTTATCATCCTACAAAGACCCTACTCCCATCCTAACAATTTGCTTATGCTTACCCTTAATTTGCCTAGTCCTGCACCACTCATGCTTTTGACTTCAGTCCAGCCCAAAGCAGTCCTTTTACGAGGTTATGAATCTGTTGTACTGACTTTCCTTGACTGCATTGTTTTATTCACTAGAGGCTGTTCTAAGAGACTTGCAGTGTATATGGGTATGGTCTGGAAAAAAAAAATCATTCTGTCTCCTGGATTTTCAAGAGGTAATGGGAGTACTCCAGACACCAAAAGAGCCATGGTGTTTTACGGGTACAGAATACATATATATATATCTGAACAAGATAATTACAGGGAATTGATCCCTTGTTAAGAAATAAACAACTCTTCCAAGGGCTTTGTTGATGTGTCAGTGTTCAGTTGCATTGCTACACTAGACCCGAAGATTGATTATCTTGTCTGGCTTTGATAATGGTGCTTTTTTAAACTCTCTCTCTCTTCAAAGCTCTTTATGAATTTCCCTCACAGACCTATAGCCATATTTATCCTTAGGTGGAGTTTACCACCCACCTGGAGCTGCATTCTCAAGCAGTCAGACTTCAGGGACGAGACCTCTGTCAGTGGCATTAAGTATGTAATTGTAAAAAAAGAATGTAGTGAAGCTGAAATGCAGTGATAGTTTTTCAGTTCATTTTAAATACATCAGCTTGCAATTGCACATATGGCTTGGTTGATGGCCTGATATTAGATGTTAAAGTAAATATTCTTAATCAGTATTTTCTTCTTGAGAGTTAATTGTCTAGGCTTAAGCAAAAATTGTTAATGTTTCATTATATTGTATTTCACATATTTAAGTTGATTCTAACTATTCTGTTGTGTTTGTAATTGAGTTCAGTAAAACCTTATGATTTATGTGGTTTAATGCATTATTAAATCAGTAATTAAGGTTTTAACCCACTGTTAATGATCATAATAAAACAACCACCTAGAAAATATGTATAGTAGGCTTTTAAATAAGATTAACTAAACTTTGAGTTAACAATAACTAACTTTAGATCTAAAATTGTTCTAAATTTTCACACTTAACTCAGCTGTTGTGTAATATATATAAACATTGTTTCATCCGTCCATTTACCACTTTTCTTAATATCTAAGTAAACTAATGATTATGTTATAATTTTTAGTAATAATTACCTTTGTAACACAATTTTCAGATTTAGCTGAAGATGGAATAAGTTATTCCAAAATGTTCAAACCTTGTAACTAAAATGTTTTATCAACTGTCTTCATCTTCTTTATTAAACCTCGGTTTCCCCATCATGATCTAATTTATAGTGAAAAATATAGATCATTTTATTTCCAGTGTATTATTAAGTATACATGTAAGTTTTCACACATCTTCTCATATTTTCAAGAACAACAACAAAACTAGTTAAATTCATTCAAGGTGAGGGGTTTAAGGATAGGAACAATAAATTGAGATAGGTTGTATTTGCAAGAGCCAACAGCTGAGAGAATAGCATGGAGAGGGTATCTAGTTTTGTGTACTTTGGGTAGACCATAAGAATTTATGATTCCCGACTCTTTTACACTTGTTTCTGGAATCTCTGAAATTCTTTCTGCTGATCAATATGCTATGGCCAGTTTTGATATTGAATCTCTATATACCATTATCCTCCTTGATGCAACTTTAAATTTAACAGTATCTTGGTTTCACCCTTAAACAATTCCTGGAACTTCTTGTCATCTCTATAAAGTTCAACCATTTCCTCTTTAATTGTGTCATCATTTATGACCAGGTAGATGGGATCCCTGCTGGGTCCGACAATAGCCAATAGTTTTCTATGCTATAATAAATGCAAGTGGCTATAAAACTGCCCATGTGAATTTAAACCTGTCCTTTACAAATGCTATATTGATGACATTTTCTTGCTGTTTTGACAATCAAATCACGTTTCCAAGTTCCTTTCTTACCTTAATTCCCAACACACCAATATCAATTTCACATTCAAACTCAAGGAAAATTATTCTTTACTTTTCCTGGACATCGGGATTACCAGAGAAGGTAAACACTTTTCTACCTCTGTTTATCATAAAAGAACTTTTATTGGCCTCTACACAAATTTCAATAGTTTTATCTCCAACTTCTTCAAACATAATCTGGTTATATCATTGTTGAACAAAATTTTTAATCTTTGTTCTAATTATTTTATTTTACACAAAGAAATTACCATTCTACATAAACACATGTTAAATAATGGCTATCTGGTTTACCATTCTACATAAACACATGTTAAATAATGGCTGTCCGACTGATTTTCTAACAAAGATTATACGCAATTTCCTAAACAACAAATTCCAACCACCAGCCAATGTACACACTGTCCCCAAATTTCCCCTCATTATCTCCCTTCCTTTTATGGGTTTGCAATCCCTACCAATTAAAAAACAATTCTCTTCTCTAATAAAAAACTTCTACCCTCAAATTCAGCTTAGAATAATATGCAGACCTAGCCTCCGCATTAAACACTTATTTCAGTACAAAGATCAGGTACCTATATTTCTATGTTCATGGTGTATAAATATACGTGTAGTGACTGTAAGGTTACGTACATTGGCAAAACAAAATGCCACTAAAATACTATAGTGTCTGAACATTTAGGAGTATCTAACAGAACCACTCATCTATTTGTTCACATTCTGAAACCACAAGTCACAATATTTCATTTAACAATTTTTCTATCATCACCACAGGATCTTCAGACCTTGACCGCTACGTTAAAGAAATTCTACTCATAGCTAAAGACTGCCCAAACCTTAACGACTTACAAAGCTTTTTAGATCTAAAATTGTTCTAAATTTTCACACTTAATTCAACTGTTGTGTAATATATATATATATATACACATTGTTTCATCTATCCATTTACCACTTTTCTTAATAACTAAGTAAACTAATGATTATGTTATTATATTATAATTTTAGTAATAATTATCTTCGTAACACAATTTTTCAGATTTCTCTGAAGTTATAAGTTTATAATTATTAAATTAGATCATATTGATAACACGCATTCATAGTTAAAAAATCTAAACTGGTATGTTTTCAGGAAGTTATGTATGACCTTGATAGGTGTTGGAGAGTAAATTGGTAGTTTAATTTTATTAATTATCATATTCATTAACATGTTTGTATAAAAACAATGTTAAAGAATATTCTGTTTGAAAAAATGTTTAGCATTCAGGGAATTGGAATGTTTTAGCTTCTTGTAACTTTAACACTTAGTTTTTTATCAAAACAAAGAAATGCATTACTAGAGTTCTTTGGAATATGAATAATATTAGAAAATGTTTAAGTTAATATAGCAGTTTCAAGAAATTACTTAAAATTTTAGGAAGTTGATGTTTCTTTAAAAAACGTTTTTTTGTATCATCAGAACTGATGGCCTGGTTGCACAACTGTTCGAAAGTTTATCAATAATTCTGAAGAAAACTGCAGTTGATTCATACAGTTTGTTCAATGATATCTTTATGCAAGTCTTTGTAAAAATTAGCTCTCCAAAAGAAGATAATAAAGGTAAGATGTAACTTCTATTTATAATTTAATCAATTTTTATTATTTTTAACATCTATGCACATGTCAAATCACCTAACAAATAACATTCAACTACATCTTCGATGACGAGGAACCCACTTTGAGACTAATAATGGTTGGAGATGGCTTGAATGGGTTATGAAGGAAAAACTTTAATATAAGTTTAACATAAAAGCAAATGTACAACATTTTGACAAGGTTTTGAAGTATTACAGAATGACTTGGATTAATTGGTTAGTTGGACAGATGTTTAGCAAATGATCTTTAATTAAAGTAAATGGAAGATACTGCATTTGGGTTATCATAACTTGGATCACATGTTTACTATAAATAGGAATACACTAAATAATGTGACTGAAGAAAAGGATCTTGACATAGTTGTGGCCTAAGTTGCTGCAGCAATGTTCTGTTGCTACTAGCAAAGATAATAGAAGCTTAGAATATATTTTAAACATATTGATTACAAGTCAAAAGATGTAATTATCTCTTTATACAAATCATTAATTAGGCCTTACTTGGATTGTTGAGTATAGTGTTGGTCTTCTTATCTAAGAAATTAATAAAGGTATTGACTTACGGAAAGGGTTAAGAGGAGATGACTTTGGAATGGAAGGATTATTGTACTTACATACATATAACTTAAGGTCAGCAAAGGGCCTGTTATTCCATCTAGGCCTTCACATCCACTAAACTAAAACATTTTTCAAGCTTTCCCTTAAGTTAACTGCATCCACCACATCTGAAGGCAACCCATTCCAAAAGCCAACCTCCCTGTTAGAAAAATAAAGCCATTTTAGCTGAAGGTGATTCCTACCTTGCCAAAATTTATATTTGTGTTCTCTAATCCTACCATTCTCACCATTAAGTACAAAAAAAGATGATGCATCCACACTATCATTTCCTCTAACAATCTTAAACACGTCAATCAGATACCCTCCAGATCTTCATTTTTACCCGCAGCATAGTGGCTCATAGAATGGTTCTGAGTTATTTTTTTTCAAGAACAAGCTTTTAGCTCATAGTTCCATCATCTCTTGACTGATTTGAAATATAATTATAGTTTTGAACTCAGGAGGTCAAACCCTTTCAATTGATGTTTTTGATTATACCCAAGGTCTCGCAGATCAATTTACTATAATCCTGTCTAAAACAATTTCAGTTTGAGGGTAGGCTGGTAGAAATCCTGATGAGTAATCAAATCAAATCGTGTATATGCGCACCCCACACTTGGTATTTCTGGTGCACAAAAATATAGCTAATAAAAAGGAAAAAAAGGTCTCATAAATTAATTTACTCTAATCCTGCCCAAAAGAATTTCAAATGCCGTGGCTATTGAGGATTCCCTCTGGATTCAAGAGTAAATAATTTCAGAGATCTTAACCCATCCTTGTGTGACAGCCTTTCCATCCCTGATATCATCCTAGTAGCCTTCCTCTGAACCCTTTCCAACAATTCAATGTATTTCCTTAGGTAAGGACCCCAAAACTGAACACACTACTCCAATGTTGGCCTAACCAGTGACCTATATATTATAACCTCTTTAGACCTGTATCCAATATTTCTGTAGATACAACCTAAAATCCTTTTTACCCTGCCACTAGCAACAGTAAATTGCTTGGATGGCTTAAAAAATTTATCAACTAGAACACAAAGATTCTTTTCTTATTTTCTCTTGAGAAAAGAAGGTAAGAGGTGATGTTATTGAATTTTACAAGAATATGTGGGGATTTATAGGATAAAGGCCTCTGGTTTCTTTGTGCTATATTCTGGTGACAATAGGACAAAAAGACACATGTTTAAGATTTGGAAAAGACAGACTAGGCTCCAGTTAAGACAGTTAATTTTTCTACCAGGTGATTGGTTTATAAAATGACTTGCTATTAACAGTAGTGGAGCTATGCACTTACAAAAAGTTTAAAAGGGGATTAATAATTAATGAGAAATATGAACTGGGTGATTTTCTCTCAAGGGTGGGACCAAGTGTTTCTTGTTGTCCATATGTTATATTAAATGGATGCCAGAGTTTTTGGTCACTCCATTTTATGTTCTCATACAGAGTGGTCACTGTGCAATAAAATCAAGACTGTTAGTCAAATTGTCATTGTTATATTTCATTCAAATAAAAAGTACAAGTTTAGAATGTGGCTTTGAGATATTTAATATTTGCTGTTTTGCAGTATTTTTGTAAGGTATTTTTCTGAGCTAATTAAACTGAAATTATACTCCAGTTTTAGAAGTCAGTGAAGAAGTGAAGGTCTCTGCTGTAAAATGTGTACATTCCTTGGTATCAAGCTGTTCTCCAAGGTAAGTTCTTAAACACAGGTCTTGTAATAAAACTTAAACATTTTCATGTTGACTATGATGTTTTATATTGAAACTTAAGTGTGATGGTACGTTCAGTATAAGTGCTAGTGTTAGTAATCGTTACCATAAAGATAGATAGGAATCTTTTTATTCAATGTTGCTTTAAGGTATGGTAAATTTTTGTCCTTGCTAGCATAATGTAGCAATCTGCAGCATTTTGTTGGAGACTGTATGCATGTTAACTTCACATATAAATGGTTCAATGTAGTTACTTGCATTTGGCAGTAATAAAACTTTGTTGTGGTATTAAAGATTGTAAGTATGCTTATACCACACTTTATCTTCACTGAGTGGATAGTGTTCTAAATACAATTAATAAATATCAACTGGTAAGAAGAACAGGTATTTATTATTTTGAAATGTACTTTTAGAAACTTGTGTGAAAGAATAATAACCATCACTATTTATTATTGAAATTTTAAACATTTAAAATCATAAATAATACTCAACGTTAAACTGGTACACAATTAAAAACATTTTATTTAGGCC